AATTGGTGTTCAAAAATTGTGGATACTTCCAAAAAGAAATCATCATTTTTGTCACCTTCAAAATGGATAACCCAAATTTAGCTGACTGATAATGTGCTTCTCATTAATATTGCATTAAGTAAGTATTTTTTAAGCCGATGATTTATTGATACGATTATACAGTAGTCGAATTATATAGTCAATTAATAAGATTGTAATTACCATTCGGATAATGATTGATCAATCCTTTTCTATTTTACGATTAATCATTGTTTCTATAACAAATACAGTAATAAAAAGAAAGAAAGTAATTACTCAGCAAATAAAAAAAGCATTATCTTTATCACAAATCCAACTGTTCCTCTAGCCATTTCAAGTATTCATAATAATACTTACATTCCAGATATCATTTAATTTTCTCACTTTGGATATTTTAATTACTCCAATTTTCGTATGTTGTTGCAACAAAATCCTATTCTACAACCTTTTAATTTAAAATATAAAAATAATTTAATAAGAACGATAATAAAGATTAATAATCAAATGCTTGAACTTCATAAATTTTATTTATTCAGCATATCTCTATTGTTAGTGGGTGGGCTGACAAGTTTGTCGCTTCCTCAGACAAAACTCGTGTAACTTAAGGTTTTTTATCTTTGTAAGTCGTGGGATTTTAATTGATCAAATATTTTCTCTTGTCTGGCAAACGTTCTTTCTCTAGATCGACCTTACCACAAGTCTCTTTTGCAGCCCCGTGATTGTCCCTCCTAAGCTGATGTCTACTCAAAAAGGTATTTTAATTCTTAAAAAGAAACTTCGTATACAAAATGCAAATCCCATTACTGTAATTATATGCTACCTTTTAGGCCAATAGTTTTTGTTTTCAATTTCGATTAAATTTCTTTTAATTTTATTGTTTTAATAGTTTGTCTGCTTTGATTCTCCATTTTCGATCTTATTTTATACAAATTGTTGTTTCCATAATGAAACTATAATATATCCTATAATTTTGCAATGAAAAAGTCCGTTAAATTATATAGCTATCTCAAATACAATTGTAATACTTCTAACCAAACCATCACGTTGCAGTTCCCCACCAACACTATAAAAAAAGATGTGGTTTGCATCATTTTCTTGTTAAAAATGTGTTCATTAACTTTTTTTATGATTTATTGATTAAAGCACTTTTGAGAGTACATTAACTAATTATGGAAATCAATTGATAACAATGATACAGTATTAATCACTACCTTATTGTGCAGATAATCAAAACAATTGGAATAAAAGCTACAGAATAAAAACAAAGCCTTGAATCTTATTTAAGCTTGATTCAGGTTATCGGGCTGAGTTAAATTTCAAACCAAAAATTTTTTAGTAATGGTGCGCGGAAA